AAAAGATCGAACATAACAGGAGGACTAAGCACATACAATACATCCTCAACATCTTGAAATGTCACAACTCGTTCTCTGTCATCAAACTGTAATTATCATAAAATAAAAAAGCAAAGAAAAAAACCATTAGCTGTTGCAATAACATCAGACATCTATGTGAAGCATACCATCGCGCCTAAATCTCTGATCGGCCTCCACTGATACTGCGTGCGTAGACGTTCTACTTCTATCCAGACAAGATGACAAGGTAACTTTAAACCATTTGAGCCAACTCTGTTACATAATTCAGTCTCCATTTTGTCATATTCCAACTGTTCCTCTTCGCACATCGACAGATCTGTTTTTACCATTCCTTTCTTTAAGTGTTCTAATGATTTCGCCCATCCTAAAGTTAAGAGTGGAGGTCAAATGTCTTAACATCGTCGAATATTAGAAGTTTGAGAATGAAAGCAGAAGTAAAATTGAAAACCTTCTGCGCCTTCATCACCGATACGAGCGATTCCACTATCCCAGAAAGCTTCGAAAAGTTTTCGTTTGTCTTCCAAATTCGCATTTCTAAATGATTCTGGAACACAAAAGTTAAATTCGCAAATAGCTTGAGCCGTCCCAATTGCCTGAAATATCGATTTATCAAAAAGAAAACAGTAGTGTAAACTTATACTTTACTTTTCCTCTTCACGACTTTCTTTGTAAAGTTGAAAAAAAAAATAATGAAAAACATAAGGAAAACTGATTCACATAAAAACATAAAAATTAAGAAAAATATTTCTGAGAAGAAATCTGAAAAGTAGAACTGCTCATAAAACACTAAGTTACCTTTTCAATATGTCCACATTTCCACAGAAGACGTATTCTACGAAGGATCACAGATGCCATGAATTGTTCAGTGTTCGGCAGTGCCTTGTGTGACAACAATTTACCGTCCCGTATTTCATCAAGTTTTTCCAAACATACTTTCATCTTTATACACTAAAACATTGGTTAGAAAAGTATGAGAATTAAAAAAATCTCTAAAATTGAGCTGGCTAAATGAAGAAAATAACGACGTGAAAATAAGAATGATTAACATCAGATAAAAAAAGAAAACAATCGTTACATTTCCCTAATTATATGAAAAAAAAAAATACTTTAAGCTCAATTCAATAAAGGTTTTTCCAGAATCATCTGTACGCAAACCTGATTAGCAAGATTGAACCGTCTCGTGTCATTCTCCAAAAGATCAAGTACGCCTTTCCACATTTCCGGATCATTGACATGTCTGAACTCCACCTGACAAGTGTTTGTAAACAGAATATTGAAAGTAATTATTGATAAGCAGCAATATATTAATTACACAGTGCAACAAAAGTTATTTAAAAATGAGAAATACAATCAAGATAAAAAGCTAACATCTCTAATTTCGCGATTTAAGACATTCTCTTCCCATAAATGCATTCCAATTTTTAGCCGCTCTAGTTTGAGTTTCACGCAGTTGAAATTAAAAGAAATAGCCTGCAAGTAGTTTTAGTGCTTGCAATAACACCGATTTTTAAAGGAATAAATATAGCATGAGCAAAATATTTATTACAACACACATAAATTCCCATCAATAAAACTAAGATTAAACATTGCTATTCGTAAATAGCAACAAAGACATAAAACATTCCATTACCTTGTCCAAAATGCTCATTTTTCGTTCCAAGAGCTCACGATTCGTAAGCCGCTCATCCCTCGTCTTTTTATTTTCCAGAGTGTCTTGCGCCAAAAACACTTCATCCTTAAAAAAATTTAATCACATCAGAGCAGTTACTGTGATATTTAGAGAAATGCGAAAATAGCATGTGAAGAGCAACCAAAAAATAAATTCATTTAACGAAAAAAGACATATAAAATGATAATCCCCACCTGAACTGCCAAGAATTTCAACCACAATTCAATATTATATCGGTCTTTTCCTAATTCCGCATTATACTTTCGACTTCTTGCTTCTGCAGTGGCCTCAATCAAAGATCTTCCACCTTGAATTGCTTTACACTTTTCCAAGCTCAAATTTCCACTTTCATCCTTAATTTTTGAAATAAAAATAACAAAAACATGAAAAATGCAGAAATTATATCATTATACAACAAAATTGCATTACCTTCAAATCATCTTCTGACAAAGCAAATTTAGAGAGCTCAATGTAATCTGTGAAAGGTTTTAGTTCTTTTGTCCTCCATAACCGTTCCGGTTCTTCTTTCCAGGTCTTCCTAACTTTGTCGCTGAAGTATCTTTGGAAGTTATCCTTCTTTTCAGAAGTACCAAAACGAAACCTATAAACAGAAAATGTGACATGTAACTCTTGTAAACAGAATGAGTAAGAAATTACCTTTATGAATTTAGATGAAGTAGATAGAAAACGACCATATTAGAAATAACTAGATAATTCAAGATTCTCAAATTTAATTCTACAGCTCTGCGTTCAGTTTCTCTTCCTTGCTAATAAATTGCCTAATGAACAAGCAAAGAATCATAATTTGAAGGTAATTATCCTAATACTTACCTTTCAAGAACTTCGTTACCACCAAGGACTTTCTTCAATAAAAATTCATACTGTGCTACGTCACTTTTGTATAAAGACTCGTAATGCACATTAGAACGATCACCTTTTAAATCCATCACCATGAATGATCTCGCGTTGGACGGATCGAACTTTGTCATAAAACTCCACCGATGGTTTGCCTAAACTTTTTTCGGTTTACCAAAAAAAAATTGGATGTGTGACTCATAACAATCTGACACCAACTTTTATTTTTGAAGATTAAGTCAGGTGATTTTGAATTGAATCACTGGAAATCAAAGAAATAAGAGGAAAATTATTTAACAGATACTATTTATTATGTAGATGCTATCTTTGAGTAAATTGTCAAAAACAAATATATGGTCATGTCTGACATCATCATACCATCTTTCCCAGTATGCATTTTAACATAGTAAATAAATTCAATAACGATATTGTATTAGTTGAAACGATAACTAAAAGGAATTACACCAAAGTGAAGACAATTAGCTCTAAAACTAACACATAGTATTTGCGGAACTGAAAGTCGTGCATTATATTTATCTTCGCTTAAATTCGAACTGGTACTGTCTCTGGATGAATTTGATGACTTGGAAGATGAAGATGATGAAGTGGACCGTCTGCGTCGTTTCTTCTTCTTCTTCTTTTCCTTTGATGAGCGTTTTAGCTTCCTTTTTTCTTCAATATTTACAACAGACATGAAGTCTAAAGGTACTTCGATATCACTTTCATCATCAGAATTGATGCCGACCATCTATAAAATAGCAGAAACATATTTGATTTACAATCCACGTCGCATATCTGCATTCCACATGTTGGTAGCTGAAGTAGTCACTGTCTATAAATCATCTGCAATACCTGATGATATCAAGTATAATTAGTAAAATGGTGGGTTGGTTATTCGGTTGTAATTAACACCTGATGAATAAAATAAAACCTTAATTTGCCTATTATGAATCGTCCTTTTAGTACATTAACTCTTTCACGAATTTGCAAGAGATCAAAATGACAATTACTTTAATAGAATGCTGCGATAACAACCGTTCTCGTTCAAGCTCTTTTTTTCGTTTTGCTTTTCTTTCCTGACGTTCGCATCTCTGTTGTTCCTTATTTTCACATTTTTTCTTTGATCTAGAAGCAAACGAACCGAAACGACCACTGAAATCGTTTTCTTCATCGAGTGGAGCAATATGACGTGGAGGAGAATCCCGATCATATGCCGGAAACATTGTCCTGCAAATAATTGATAAATGCCGACAACTAGCTTACCGCTTATTGTCGATCATAATTTTCGAAACTTAAAACTTTGTTTGAAGAGATATGAGAAATCGAAGGAACATTTCTAACTGTAGCTAATGATACAGCCTTTCCTGATCCCCCTTGTTTCCATTACGTCAACAACGTACACAATACAATCAATCACCTATAAAAATATGAGCAATTGAAAAAAAAAATAACTTTCTCTGTCGAAATCCTTATTTTGCAGTAAATATTACGTCTTAGAAAATCATTTTAGAAACAGATTAACATGAAGTACAACTTGAAATACTGAAAACTTCGGCACTTCTAAGATTTGTATCTTCCAACCGTGAGAGTATAAAAAGTCTCACGAATAGTGTGAATCATGATAAAAAGTTATGAAACGATAGCGAAACAGGACAGTCTAAGAACTATGACGTACAGTGAACACATGCTACGGTGGAAATCGTGTAAGAGCGTTAGATAAATCAGTGAACTTACCCCATTTAATCGGTATATAAAAAAGAAAAATAGCTATATGTATAAAAATAAGTACACCTTCTAAAAATATCTAAAACCTATACCATCGTCTTCTTAGCTCAGAATATGCTCTTCCCCGTACCCTCCCCATATCCTTCGTGATAACAACCCAAGAGAGAAGTAATCCTTCCACAGTGAACAAATGCACCACCGCCTGGCCTCTGCCACCAAGCCTTTTTTGTTATTAGGTGGCCCGAAAGGAAAACCCTTGAATTGCCGTCCTATGCTAACATAATTAATTTATGGCAAAAAGTTGGATCCTAATGTCAAGAAAAATGCATATCAATTTCATTCAACATTCCTAAATACAATAATTTTGGAATAATACATACAAAAAATACACACATACACACACATACATACACATACACACACGCACATACGTACATAGAAAAGAAAAGCCCGTCATGGTCCACCATTGTTTACCAGTTCTAGTTCATTCGCTGTGTAAATAAATTGGCTTATATATATAAATAGAATTGATGTTATCAAGTCATACTTCTCCTTCTGTTTTAAAAAGTTACAGTCATAAAAGTATATCATTTCTTTCATCTTTGTGGATTTTGCTTTTTTTCCCGATTGTTATGTGTTATTGGTTTATAAATTCATCCAAGAAGATGTTAGAATTGTACAGTTTGGTAGTACTGGAATTTTGAAATAAGTTTATGATATGATATCGAAATCAGGAAATTGATTTCTTGAGTTTTTGTCGCTGCAACACTTGCGCAAGTAGTGCAATTGTGACACTTTCATTTACTGCTTGTGGTACCAAATTCTTTTCTAGCATTTCATGTTCTTGCTTCCTAAGCAGGCCACTGAATTGCATTTTCTTGAGTACCTGCACAAAAAGAGTACATTGATTATATCTTGTAATTTATGGCAAATATTTTGCGGCAATTAAGACATCTTTAAAATGGTCAGTCTTTGTCTATCAGTTATCTGTCATCTTAATAAATATAAATAAATAAATGGATTTGGCAGATTGTGTGAAAAGTTGCCATCTTAATACGGATAAAGTTTGAAATTTTAGTTCTCAAAAAAAAAAGACTTTTTCGAGGAGTTCTTTATCCATTGGTAAATCACAAACTGCTTTCCTCAAATTTGCAGCAATTTCTTTTTCTGTCATTGATATATCTTCGTCCAACAACTTATTAAACGCTTCCTAAATTAATAAGCAGACTGAGTAGATCAAACATTACAGATTCGAATTCTTTGAATTTTCTTAAAAACCAACATTTACTATATATGATATTAGCATATTTTATTTAAAATATCCGAAACAATATGAATAAATTCTTTCATTCCTAATCAAAAACTGATTACTGTTTTCTGTTCATCTATCCCATAAATCTCGAGAATAGTTCGAATCTGTACAAGTCCATCAACATATGATCGGTCCTGTGACTTATTTGCTTCATTATCTTCTGTTTCAGGGCTAAAATTTAATTTAACTCCCAACGGAGTTTTTGCACATGTATAGTAGGAAAATAAAGTTTCTTCTGTTGTTTTCTTAATGGAAGAAACTAGCAGTTTAAAATAAAATGCGATGTGCATCTGAGAAATTTAAAAAAAAAATTTATTACTGGCGATTGAGGTTTCAATAAACGTATTTTCATGTAGCACCGTAATTGTTATACACTGAATGCATACGATTTTGTTAAAGCATTGAAAGATAACATGTTTTCAATTCAAAAATATGAAAAATTTCTGGATAATTATTTAAGAGAACTAATTTGTTCAAGAAAAGGAATGTACTTCATATAAACAGGAGATCCGGTCATTGTCGCTTTTCTGCTATCTTCCACTTGTTCGGACACCTGAATACTTAGAAGTAAAATGAATTAGGCTTATATTCTAGAAACAGTTTTCAGCCACAAGCTGTCTTTTCAAATCAAATTGTAGACGCTTAGATTGAAAAAAAAAAAAAAAAAACAAAGACAAAAACAAAAGTAATCATACTTGTTTAAATTTCATTTTCCTCTCTAACTCTTCATTAGGAGTCCTGAAACGTCCTAGTTAATTCAACAATTTTTATTTTTCGAATAATGAGTAATAATTCTAATGATTTCCTGAATTCGTGGTACCATACCTGGAATTTGCATCTTGATCACTACAACTTATTGAAGCACTTGTTGAGGACAGGACCACATTTGATGGGCTACTCTCATCCATCACTTTTTTCTCCTTGATTTTATTCGACATCATCGTTATTGCTGGTTCCTCTGACGATTCTGATTAGGTTTAAATTGTTACTTTTCAGTCTATTTTGTTGCCTACAACCGGTGTTACTGTCAACTCCTTTACAGCTATTGTAATTTTTAATTTAGACAATGATATCATCATACCTGGTCTCCGAGCAGCATCATTATTTGACTCTTCGATTTTCTTCATTCCATGTGAAATTCGTTTCGGCGTTGTCATATCATTTACTTTATGCTTTTTCTGAATGAAAACATATGTGATTTCCCTTTTTATATCTATGCATCATTTTCAGGTATCGTTGCTGAGTTTTATTTTAACGTTATGCTTTTTGGACTTAACGTCCATTTTTATTCTAACCATTTTCTCTTGTGATTGTTTCTCGATTGCTGCTATTTGTTCTTTTTCCTCACCAGTGGGACTGTCTTTTTGATCGGTTTGTTGGATATCAACGTCAGATTGTTCTTTTTCTGTAAGTGACACAGCAGTTACAAGGAATTGAAATATTCAGTTTCACCGCAGAATAAACCGTTATATCTGGAGGGGTTGAAATGTCCGTTACTGGTGTTATTGGCGAAGTGAATGAAGTCAAATTGTTACCTGATAATGCTGCAGAGATAGAAATGGATCTCTTTGTAACTTCCGATGATTTGTCCTCTCTTCTCTGATCTTCTTGAATCTCCCTTTCACGCTTTCTCTTTCCCCTATTTCTCCTGGAGCTTATTTTTTCCTGAGTTTCCTTTTCTTTGTTCTCCTTTTCACTTCCTGATTTCAAGATTTCATCCACTCGTCTCATTTTTTTATGAAAATTAAGTTTCTCATTACTTTTAGATTTTCTTATGCCTCTTTCTCTCATTTTTTCCTTCTCTTCCTCCAATTTAATTTTCTTATTATTAATTTCATTTTCATCCTTTCCTTTATGAATATGATGACTTTTCACTTTTTTTGCTTTACGCTTCTTTATTTTACACTGCTCACGCATACTTTTCGAAGTATTTTTGTCTTTTTTAGCTTTCTTCTTATTTCTAATTCTTTCAGATTCATAAAGATCTCCAGAAAGCTTCTTTGTTTTTCTTTCTTTACTTTTAATCTTTTTTCTCTTTTTTTTTTTTGCTGATTCGCTGATACTTTCTGATTGTTTTCCAGATATACTTCTGTCTTTTTCCTTCAGAACCATATCCCTCATTCTGATCTTCTGCGACGACTTTCGACATTTAACAGAAGATTTAAAATCCCTACCTTTTTTCCCACATAATTTTTTCGCCTTTTTCTTTTCCTTCTTTTCTGATCCAGTGATACTTTCCGAATCTGTACCGGAACCGTTTAAACTCTTCTGTTTCACAGTCGTTCTTTTTGCTTTATTTGCGCCCGAAGTTTTTTCAGTTTTTGCTAGTTCCTTTTCTGACTTTTTCTTCTTTGTTCTACCTTTTTTTAATTTGTTGACTCTTTTTGAATCTTTCACTGAACTACTTTTAGAATTCAACTCAACAAGTTTTTTTATGCCTTGCTTAAGTCTATTTGCTACTTCCGTTTTCCTTGTCTTATCGATTGCTGGATCTGGTTTTTCATCAATCCCTTCCGCTATTTCTGAATCGATTGATTTCTCCTTAATGCCTAAAAATTAAAAAAAAAAGAAATCATAATTGTTGACACCATTATATTTAAGATAGCCTGAAAAAGTTGAGTAATTCACAATGGAAATCCTAGTTTGAGGAGGAGACGGTTTGCAGTTCATATAAATGCTATCTAATTCGCAAAGTTAAATACGATATCAAAGCTCCATAATTGTTCTTTTCTTTAGTTTCATATCCTTGGATACAAAACTACTGTACATGCATTGGATACACTAAAGAATACAGTGTTTAATAAGGAGATGAAATTCTACACATTTGTTTCCCTTCACAACCTTTTCCATGATGCCTTTTGTTGTGTTTCTGTTTTGGATCATTTCTTGTCGAACTAGCATCCGTTTTATTTTTTTTCTTCCTGATCAAATTACCACTTATATTTTTCGATTTGCTGTGCTTTGTTTCAGGTTCGTGAGGAGATTCTTCTGAATGATTATTTGTTGTAGGTAACTTTGACTTCCCGTTTGTTGTCATTTGATCCGGTGGAACCTTGTTCCTGCTTTTGTCTACATCTAGAATTCCTTCTTGTTTCACTTCTGCCTTCTTCACATCTTTAAGTTTTTTCCATGTTTTATGTTTTCTGTTCCCGGAGCTTTTATAATTATAGTTCAGATTACGGTGTTTCCTTTTCCGTCTTTTACGCTTCTTATCTGCATCTGCAGAGATCCTAGAAACTAAAGAATCTTCATATATGGGTGCAAAATTGCAAAATTGATGTTGAGATCAAATATTATGAGAACAAGATATACATTTAACTGCAACCCTAAGAAAATACGCAATTTTTCAAGCAATAATACCATCCCTTTAATTTTAATTAGGCAAGCATGATTTTGAATATGTTAAGCAGAATCATGTGACTGTTTTAGAAGCTACTGTATGGTCCAGTTGACAATGGATCATATTTCAACGTCACTCAATTCATTACATTTTTTGATTGCACAGTAACATAACCGCTGACGATAACGGTTGAAAAAAGTCACCTCAAGAGCTTCAAGTTCATAGACTATTGGCCATTTCATGATGCACTATGAAGACGCAAAAAATTGTGATTAGAAGTACTGCAATAGAAAGTGCACTGTTATCAGAGAGAGAGAGAGAGAGAGAGAGAGAGAGAGAGAGAGAGAGAGAGAGAGAGAGAGAGAGAGAGAGAGAGAGAGAGAGAGAGACTGCATGTATTCGTACAGTTTTGTCTAGGTTTGCTTGAAATTCGAACTGCCTAGTTTGCTATTTTAGACAGCAGTCACTCTTAATATCAAATACCTCTTCGATTCATCACTTTTGTATTTGTTAGTCGGTCTCGTTATTCTTGCTACACTCTTTAGTGACGAAGCGTTTTTTGGTGAGAAATTGATATCTTTTGAATCCATTTACGATATAATCTGTGACTACAAATTCAAATATTCTTGATAGATTGAAATACAAAAAAGCACAGAAAATTTAATGGCATAGAAAACCTAATGTGGGATCTACTTGTTTTTTTTTTAACCTGAGGAACGAAGCATGTAGACAGATTCAGACTGACATTTCGATCCTCTTTTAATGAAATCTCACTTCACTATGTAAATCCCAAATGTATATCATAAATCCAGAAATTCACAAACCTGTTTAGTGCTCAAGAACCGTAATTTCATTAATGAATGAGGTAAACGAAATAAGAATGAGCCGTAACACCGGCCGTTCATCAGATTGCTTAATTACAAATTAATGGAGAATCTAATATTTCTTGCCTTTATTGCTGAAAAAATAGCCAACAATTTGCTCTAACACCGGATAAAATATAACTGCATCTCCACGCAAAACAACTAGCAGATGAATTCTCAGCTGCTTCAATCTTAATGTTGAAGTAATTTGAAAAACTTTTAACATTAGCTAGAGCGATTAAACACTTCAGTAGACGATGCTGGAATATTAATTTCAAAGTTTGAGAAAGTTTACAATTCTGTCATTGGTTCACAAATATCTTGCAAACTAATTAGATCCATGGACATCACTAACTGTGAGTAATGTCAGATAGAATTTAGTAACTTCAAACAAACTGTTTTGTGCTCACATAAGCAACACTGATTCTAGAACATTTCTGCACACAAATTCCTGCCCATTGGGAAAATTGTTCACCAATACAAGTTTTTTTTTTCTACGAGACTGGTCCATTACAACCTCAAAATTTAAACATTATCTAAAAAGCTTTCGACTAGAAAGTTTTATGCGAAATATAAGCAGTTCATTTGGCAGATATTAAAATAACCACAAGATTTTAAGCAATAAGTTTTGGAGCAAACTACTTCAATTGCAGGAGCACATATAAATGCATTTGAACTGTTAACGAAAGTTTCCAATCAGTCAACGTTCGATCGATCTCCTAGCTTTACCAGACACTTAAGCAGTGAAATAAACAAAACGCAGGCAAAAATAATACGTAAAGTGAATAAAAAAAAATGAAAGCATCAGTCGGAACATATACACAATGGACGATTACCCAAACCCCACTCATTGGCACACAGTTTGACATTTGAATTATACGATTAGTTTTCCAACAATGCGAATTTCGAGAAGATTCTACCTTAAAATCCTACCATTTCCCATCACAGTTTGATTAAACTCTGCTGACAGATTACCTTTATATGAAAAGGGGTCATAAATGCTACTTTGTCAAAGATGACACAGAATAGCAGATCACCATTTGATATAAATACTTTCCAAAAAATAGCAATATTCGGAAATTTTTTATATAAAAGAAGCTACATCTACTGTATTTTCACCGGTATGAAACAAGAGATCTGTATTGTAAAGAATGTGCAGTAAAGGAATTTCTATTAAATAATAACTGGAGTAAGCATAAAGAAACCATTTCACAAAATCTTGAGAAGGTTGGAAAAAACAAAAAGTTTTTTAAAGAAAAAAAAGTGCTGTTTCGCAAATCCTATTGTTAACCTTACCTACGACGACTCCTGGTATTTGTGATTTATAATTTATACATTCATCTCAATTGCTTAACAAAATAAGAAACATTACATTTGATAATTTCAAAAACTGAAGAGGAGTGGAATACATGAATACATATCGAAAGATCAACATTGCCATTTGATAGATCTTGCACCGTTTTTAAGATAATTCACTCAGAATGTCTTCCTATGTAGCACTTTTTTCCCTTCGTCTTCATATTCCTTTTTACTAACCCACATCTTCTTGAAAGTATCAAGACTGGCTAGAATTGAACCTCCTATCCAAGTACCGTACAACCGCTCTTGCGGTGCAGATATCCGAATCTTCACGTCTTTTGGTGCCAACCGACGCGTCTGTAATCAGTAAGCGAGATTTTTATTCCAAGAATTTCACTAAAAAAAAAAATTAATCCTGACGAACAAAATACTGATGAATGAAGTAGTACATGCTTGGCAAAACTTACTTCAGCTAATAATCGATCGCCAAATCCAGCGAACATGGTTGATCCACCACTTAATACAATGTTACTATACAGATTTTTCCGCAGATCTATTTCACAACGCTGAAAAAAAAAAAAGGATTTTATATTCAGTAAAATAAAAAAAAAAAAAAATAAAGATTTCCTTCTAAACACTGCAATATTCAATTTCTTTCATCCTGTTTGTCTAACATTTGGTGTAAATCGAGCAGTAAACTTAGAGCTACTCAAGAAATTTTCTGAAGACAACACTACTATTAACTAAAATTTCAAAGTTTAGAAATAAAATATAACCTTGATCTCTTATTACGTTCATTTACGATTACTGCGATGCAACTATACTGCATTCAAAAAAAAAAAAAAGAAAATAGTATAAGGCGTGAAATCACTGCTAAGGTATATTCGAAAAAAGCTACCGATTTCTAAATTTCATGAGTTCTTACATTTTCCTTCATTTTCAAGATAGTTATTTCACTTCATTAAAGGCAGTAGCATTACTCAAATTACAAACTTAACACTGTATAACATTGAAGAATTGATACAAAAATTAACGATTATGTTGAAGCGCATACTCTTATGGACAAATCGAGAGCATTTGCAATGCCTGGCCATTCCTCGCCAATAATGTCTGGCCGAAACAGTATCTCAGCAGCACGAAATCTTGCTGGTCCAACTTCAAGTGTCGAACCATCGGGCAGTTTATAAGCGGTCTGAATTAGGAAAACACTGAAGTCGCTAAATGATTAATTCAGTGCTGCAAAAACCATACTTAAAGATAACCATCCTAACAACTACTAGAATGATAGGTAAAATGAAACGTACTTTCTCGCTTTCGCTACTTTCTTCTTTTGCAGCATTTGTAGCAATGTAACACATTTTTTCCTTAATTTCCCGTACAATTTCAAATTCTGATGAACGATGAAAGTTAGCTCCTTCTTTGCGAAGTAACAGACGAAGATATCTGGTCACGTCTCGTCCTGCGACATCCATTCTCTCAATTCTAGATTTTACATACTTACCCTTAGAACGTTAGAAATAAGACATTACTGAAGATAATAAAAAACGATTACCAATAATATTAAGAATAGTTTAACGAGAAGTCACAGTCATAGATAAGATTAAGTTTATTTTAGGATGTTATTATTATTAAGATTATTTCAGGATATATCATATTATTAAGCCTTATTTCAGTTCAGGATGTTAGAATACGTTACAGTACAATTCAAAGTTCATTCTTTAAAAAGGATGCTATAAAAACTACAAAAGTACTATGACTTGTGTAAGCGACTTAATCGCATATCCCACTATCTGTTTCTCAACTCATGATACAAATCGCTTTAATGTATTTGCTAGTTGATCAGCTGAGAAAAGAGAACTGAACTAAGAAGGAAGAGAGATAAAAATTGAAGCTCTACAGAATAAATCGAAAACTGATCCAGAAAAAACAAACCCGTGCTGTATAGCAAAACCCTCAAAGATAGGTACAACATGTGTAACACCATCTCCTGAGTCTAAAACGACACCTGTTGTACGACCTGTTGAATAAAGCGAAAGCACAGCTTGCATTTGGATGTGCAGTGCAGGTATATTAAAAGTTTCGAAGAAAATTTCAGCTGATTTTTCTCGGTTTTTAAGTGGATTAAGAGGTGCTTCTGTAAGCAACACTGGATGTTCTTCTGGGAATATCTGAAAATGTAAAAGTACTGTGAACATGACCAACCAGATTCACCAACAAAACAGCGCTTTGTTCAGAACGAAAAATTAAAATACCTGCAACTGATCTTTACTATAAATATACTGCCATACGCGTTCCATGTCATTCCAATCCGTTACTATGCCGTGCTCCATTGGATATTTCAACGACAGCAGTCCTCGATACTCTTGTGCTTTCGGACCTAAATGAGTTTTACAAAATTGGAGAAAGCAAGAGCTAACAGCAAAAAGCAAATCTGCAAACCATTGACAGTAAAACTGACCATAAGCGGCAGCAATTATATTTTATGTAAGAAAACGAAAAAACTTTACCTATGAACAAGTCACCCTCCAGAGCACCAGCCATTACTCTTGTATGCTTTGGTCGTCCAACAAAATTAGCAAAACGACACTTTGGCGTCTGGTCACCAGCAAACCCAGCCTTTATTACCCCAGACCCATTATCGATAACAACTGGCTGATTTGCTATTACATCATAGGAATCCATGGCTTAACCTGCCGAAAGACTTTGGAATATTAAATATTAGCAAACAAATTTTTTTTCTCACACGTTTAATTGATAAAACGACCAAATAAGCTAGATTTCATATACCAACGATATTCAGAGTTATCACGACATTTAAGTGAAGTCAGATATATAATATCAATGCCGCATTTCAACTCTCTTCTGGCAGAACAGTTTGACTGTGAGAAAACTTTAAATCCAACTAAGTCACTTCTTTAACTGTCTACTTATTAAAATAATGCACATATGGTTATCGACATTAGCATGGTAAAATACAAAACGATTATTTTCCTCTGCTTTTGAACATTGGATAAAAGATATATAAACACAAACGGTTGAGAGCCATAGCTCTAATTAGTTGTACAATGTTGTAATCAATGTTAACAAAATTTATTCCGTAGCAAGTGGTAAAAATCAAAACAATTCGATAACAGTCTTTCATTTAGTCAAAACAGGACAAAATAATATATTGCGGTTTTATTAACCTCCTTTCTTCTTCGACACACCAACAGTGCGACCTTTTCTACCTGTTGTCTTAGTGTGCTGTCCGCGTACACGAAGTCCCCAATAGTGTCGAAGCCCTTAAAATATCATGACAATTAAATCAGATAAAAAAATCTTCAAGCCAATGATAATCCCCTTATAAGATTTGTAAAGTCGCCAATTTCCACTGCCATGAATTCATTTCATGAAGAGACATGTTGGTATACTGAATAGACTTAAGTTAA